TACTATGCAGCCATAAAAAAGGATGAGTTCATCTTCTTTGTAGGGACATGGATGAAGTTGGAAACCATCATTCTGAGCAAACTATTGCAAGGACAGTAAACTAAACACCACACGTTCTCACTTATAGGTGGGAATTGAACAATGAGAACACTTGGACACAGGAAGGGGAACATCACACACTGGGGCCTGTTGTGGGGTCGGGGGGAGGGAGGAGGGATAGCATTAGGAGATATACCTAATGTAAATGACGAGTTAATGGGTGCAGCACACCAACACGGCACAGGTATACATATGTAACAAACCTGCACGTTGTGCACATGTACCCTGGAACTTAAAGTATAATAAAAATAAATAAATAAATAAATAAATTCTGGGTTGAAAATTCTTTTCTTTAAGAAGGTTGAATATTGGCCCCCACTCTCTTCTGGCTTGTAGGGTTTCTGCAGAGAGATCCACTGTTAGTCTGATGGGCTTCCCTTTGTGGATAACCCAACCTTTCTCTCTGGTTGCCCGTAACATTTTTTTCTTCATTTCAACCTTGGTGAATCTGACAATTATGTGTCTTGGGGTTTCTCTTCTCGAGGAGTATCTTTTTATTGTTCTCTGCATTTCCTGAATTTGAATTTTGGCCTGTGTTGCTAGGTTGGGGAAGTTCTTCTGGATAATATCTTGAAGACTGTTTTCCAACTTGGTTCCATTCTCCCCCTCACTTTCAGGTACACCAATCAAACCTAGGTTTGGTCTTTTCACATAGTTCCATATTTCTTGGAGGCTTTGTTTGTTCCTTTTCATTCTTTTTTCTCTAATCTTAATGCATTATTTCATCAAATTGTTCTTTAATCTCTGATATCCTTTCTTCCGCTTGATCTATTCAGTTATCGAAACTTGTGTATGCTTCATGAAGTTCTCTTGCTGTGTTTTTTAGCCCATGAGGTCATTTATGTTCTTCTCTAAACTGGTTAGTCTACTTATCAATTCCTCTAACCATTTTTCAAGGTTCTTAGCTTACTTTCATTGGGTTGGAACATGCTCCTTTAGCTCAGAGGAGTTTGTTATTACCCACCTTCTGAAGCCTACTTCTGTCAGTTCATCAAACTCATTCTCCTTCCAGTTTTGTTGCCTTCCTGGCAAGGAATTGTAATCCTTTGGAGGAGAAGAGGTATTCTGGTTTTTGGAATTTTCAGCCTTGGTGTGCTGGTTTTTCCTCATCTTCATGGACTTATCTACCTTTGGTCTTTGATGCTGGTGACCTTCAGACGAGGTTTCTATGTGGACTTCCTTTTTGTTGATGTTGAGGCTCTTCCTTTCTGTTTGCTAGTTTTCCATCTAACAGTCAGGACTCTTGGCTGCAGGTCTGTTAGAGTTTGCTGGAGGTCCACTCCAGACCCTGTTTGCCAGGGTATCAGCAGCGGAGGTTGCAGAACAGCAAAGATTGCTGCCTGCTGCTTCCTCTGTAAGCTTCATCCCAGAGGGGCACCCACCAGATGCCAGCCGGGGCTCTCCTCTATAAGGTGTTTGTTGGCCCCTGCTGGGAAGTTTATCCCAGTCAGGAGGCTTGGGGGTCAGGCACCCACTTGAGGAGGCAGTCTGTCCTTTAATAGAGCTCGAGCATTGTGCTGGGAGATCTACTGCTCTCTTCTGAGCCAGGAGGAAGGAATGTTTAAGTCTGCTAAAGCAGCAGCCACCCCTTCCCCCAGCTGCTCTGTCCCAGGCAGATGGGAGTTTTATCTATAAGCCCCTCAGTTGGGGTGCTGTCTTTCTTTCAGAAATGCACTGCCCAGAGAGGGGGAATCTTGAGAGGCAGTCTGGCTACAGCGGCTTTGCGGTGCTGTGGTGGGCTCCGCCTAGTTTGAACTTCCCAGTTCCTTTGTTTACACAGCAAGGGGAAAACCACCTATTCAAGCCTCTGTAATGGTGGATGCCCCTTCCCATACCAAGCTCGAGAGTCCCAGGTCAACTTCAGACTGATGTGTTGGCAGCGAGAATTTCAAGTCAGTGAATCTTAGCTTGCTGGGCTCCCTGGAGGTGGGATTTGCTGAACTAGATCACGTGGCTTTCTGGTTTCAGCCTCCTTTCCAGGGGAGTGAATGATTCTGTCTTACTGGCGTTCCAGGCTAGTAAGTACCCTACTGGGGTATGAAGAAAAACTGCAGCTAGCTCGGTGTCTCCTGTAACAGCCACCCAGTTTCGTGCTTGAAACCCAAGGCCCTTGTGGTGTAGGCACCCAAGGGAATCTCCTGGTCTGTAGGTTGCAAAGACCATGGGAAAAGTGTAGTATCTGGGCCAGAATGCACTGTTCCTCATGGCACTGTCCCTCACAACTTCCCTTGGCTAGGGGAGGGAGTTCCCTGACCCCTTGTACTTCCCTTGTGAGGTGATGCCCCACCCTGCTTCTGCTCACCCTTTGTGGGCTGTACTCACTGTCTAACCAGTCCCAATGAGATGAGCTGGGTACCTCAGTTGGAAATGCAGAAATCACCCACCTTCTGTGTTGATCTCACTGGGACCTGCAGACTGGCACTTTTCATGCTTAAATCATATGTTAGCTAAACATAAAACACTTTAAAAACACTACTACATTTCTTCTTGAACCATATTGATATTAACAAATCTTGTGTTCATCTCCTCTTGTTATTGTCTTTCTCACTCTGAAATTTCTGAGAATTTTTCTTTAATCTTAGGTATTATTCATAAATTGATATTGAACTTAGATATTCACAATAAATTATTTCTTTGCTGAGAAATGCCACGCCTGAGGCTCAGGTGCACAGACCCTGCCTGAAAATGAGGCTATAACTTGAGAATCTGTAAATCTCCCCTGTTCCCACCATGAGCCTTGAACCAAGTAACAAACAGCAATCTATTGCCAGGAAAGGTACAGGAGCATGGAAAATTTAAAGTCTGTGTTGCACTGAAGGTAACTATAGTAACACTAAAAGTCAAAGCTAGGTCAGTATTGACTCAACCCACCATGCCACTACCTGAACAATGTGGCAGAAGAAAACGTATGTCCATTTCCAGGTATAACTACTGTATACCTCAGTCTCTAATTTCTTTTATACACAATATCTGGTATTCAATTAAAAATTATGAGACATAAAAATAAGCAAGATTAAGAAAAGTCATGTTGCCAAGAGAAAAAGCAGTCAAGGGAACAGACCCAGAGATGGCCCAGATGTTGAAATTATCAGACAGGAATTATTTTTAAAAAACTATGCTTAAAATGTAAAAGATCTAATGTTGAAGGAAGAAATCATTCATGAATAGAGAGGGAATTCCAGCAGAGAGATGAAAACTATAGAAAAGGTCAAGGGAAATGCTGGAAATAAAATCCACAATATCAAATATGAGAATTGTTTCAACGGGCTTATAGCAGACTCCATGCAGCAGAGCAAGGAATCAGTAAACTGGAAGACAAGTCAATAGAAATCAACCAAACACAAACACAAAGAGAAAAAAGAAAACAAACAAAAAAGAACAGAACATCCAAGAGGTGTAGGAAAATATATCTATATAACATTTCTAGGTGTGGGATTTTACATTTTGTCATGTTTAATGCTCCAGGATCCTATTCAATCTTAGGTCTCACATTGTCTCTAATTCTCTGAACTCCTAGGCAATTATTCCCTGAAACATTTCTTCCCCTCTATTTATTTTACTATATCTTTCTGGAGGTTCTGTTATATGAATAATATAACAGAATAACCTTTCAATTTTTATTAATCTTTCAACTATATACACATTATTTCTGTATTATAGAAACGTATTTGTTGTATATTTAAAATACATAATATTTAACCTCTTTAGCTCTTCCTGATGCATTCTGAGAGTTCCTTGGCTGTTGGTATAGCCCTCACTAATCTGCTATACAGCTAACCAATCCAGCATTCAACCCATTTATTATGTTCTTTTAACTAATACATATCCTCCAGTTGCTGTTTTTTTTAACTGATTCTTTTTGCTTTGTTTCCAGTACTGTAACTTTCCTGGGTTGTACTTCTGATGAATTTAGAAGTGTGAATCTAGGGAGGGAGTGGTCACTCTTCAAAGCAGGTCACTTGTGTGTTAACAATCTGTATCTACTCTGGCACTGTTCTTTTTCTAAGTGTGGTCTCTCTTTTTTAATCATCTTGGCTTTAAGATTTGAAGAGAGGTGGCAGTAGGAGAAAATATGTTTTTACCTACTCCCTAAACCTAGATAGGCTTCCCTGCCAATGGGATATTTTGTTGCTGCCCCTGGCTGTGCTGTGGTATGCTAACTGGCAAACAATGGACAATAGCCCATTCAGAGTTGAGTTGATGGGGAAAGTACACACCTAAATATTTTCTTCCACTTTATCTCCTATTCATGGCATCCATGGTTGTTCAGGGTTGCCGCTTCCTCTTGTTGGGATCTAACCATATTACATCACCTCAGGGATTTATAACGATTTCTATATTGGTTTGATGAATCCAAAATTGGTTTGAGAGAAAGAATTGGGAGCCTGTGCTAATCTGCCATCTTACCAAAAACTGCATAAAACCAGCATTTAGATTTAGGGATTCTGACTTCAAAGACAATACCAATACCTTATCTATAATACTATATGATTTTCTGAATCTGTTTATCCTTCCTTACATATGTTTTACTACTTTTCATGATTATGCCTTTGTGTGATTACAACTTACATCTGGAATTCTGAACAGGTTTTTTTTCACTATTTCTAACTCTAAAAATCTTTAAAATCCAGTGAAAACATTCTCCTTTAATAGAGACCCTCTAGTGGTTCTTTACAATCATTTTTCCTGTGATCCTTCAACACTTGTATGATACTAATTTACTTTTGATATGTTCCTCCATAAATGGTTTTTAGTTTGTTCCATGTGCATATCTGCTGTTGGTCCAAATAGACTAAAAATGCTTGCTCTTTGAGAAATTTTCTAAAATCTAATATAAGGTGATAAATTGGCATTGACTAGTTAAGATGTATCATTGACATGACTTAGAGAGAAAAACTCACTTTGTTCAAATCCTCCATTTTTACCCATGAAGTCAAAGAAAGCATCAAGAATTCTGCAGAGGGTTATGATGACTGTTATGTCCTCCATAGGATATGGCTGGAATTTCTGACGATTCTTTATAAATTGTAGTCCGTCTGTGACACTATTTTTAATCATGAATTCAAGACAATCCACTCCTGATTGACTTATAATTTTAGAAGTTTTCAGAAGCCATGACTTAACATAAGGCTCCCATCCCAGATCAACAGGATCCTAATAATAAAAAGTAAAATATAATCTTATGTAAATAAATAAAAATATGGTACATCCTCTGGAATGATTTGTGATTTCTAACTATGGTCTTACAAGAAAACAAGCAATTGGGGGATTATGTATAGGAAGGTGTATTGAGGCTCTGTGTATGTGGTGAGGGGAACTGCTTACCCAGAAGTCAGCCCTATATTTAGATTTATTTATAACATTCAGTTAAGTAGATTAGAGCATAGGGCTAATTATAGCTAATAACTTCATGTATAGAGAATAGAGAATATAGCTAATAACTTCATGTTATATTGTGTACTTCCTTCCCACTGTCTTCATAATGTGTTTTCCAAGTTCTTAGAGTCAGAGTGGGTATGAAAAGGTCTCAGGAACATCTTCCTCTATTGAAAAAATAATTCATATCAGCAGCCTAATTTGTCTATTTGTTTACTCACAGTTGTGGAAAATACTGACACTCCAATTACTAAGAGTAGTATTAGAACAGTAATAATTAAATTCACATTCAATTCTGGATTATGAGGCTTTGGGAGACACAAAGATTTGGAACTATTGGGTTCATGCTGCTGGATACAAAGGCAAAAATAAAATAAACATAAAATGCTGTAAATAATAAATAGTTACTATCATAAACAACATTTTTGCTTTGTTAAAACATTTGTTTTTGAAAGCTTACCATATAGACCATGGCACATCGGCTGACAGTAGCAGGACTGGCCTGAGAGAGACTGTCCACTTCAAAAATCACTCTTATTTTATTAGTTAAAGCTATTCTCTCACTGTTTGCTAGGCATAATGTTCTAGTATCATCTAGCACAGAGTTCAGATTTTCTACCCAAAAGGTGTCCACTGGGCCATCTAAGATAATCCACTGCCAATCAAAATCTGGAGAGAAAAATATTTTTAATGTAACTGAGAATAATGTCAGTCTTCTTTCATTACAATCTTGCAAATTTTCTATTTTACTTAGAAAATATTAGATAATTAACCCTTACAATTTGCTTAGGAGAAACAGCTATAATTTTACCTTCTGCATAATAATATGATTTGTAAGTTTGCCCTCCTATCCCAGAATATTTTTTAGATATGTTGTGCCTGGGGAATAGCAAAGGGAACTAGATGTTCTTTGAAGAAAGAATCAAACAGAGTTTAAAGTATACCACACTTGGAACCCATTTACTCCTCTTTCCACAGGGTGTTAGTCCATTTGGGCTGCTGTAACAAAAAGCCTTAGACTGGATAGCTTATAAACTATAGACATTTATTTCTCACAGTTCTGGAGATTTGGAAATCCAAGATCACGACACTAGCAGATTCCTTATCTGTGGGGGCTATCTTAATGGTTCACAGAAGGGCACATTCTTTGTCCTCAGATGGTGGAAGGGGTGAGGAATTTCTCTTGAGCTCCTTTTTCAGGGCACTAATGCCTTAATGAGGGCTCTACTCTCATGATCTAATCAACTGCCCAAGGCCCCCTGCCTTCTAGTACCATCACCTTGGGAGTTAGAATTTCAACACATGGATTTTGGAGGGACACAAACCTTTAGACCATAGCACACATGCTATACCCACCACTGTCCTCCACAGTTTTAGAAAATCCATTTGTCAGGATAGGGGAGGTACGAATAGGTCGCTATGCAGACAGAAAACAGATAACCACCAAAAAGATATTAAAATATTCCAGAAGAATCCAGGAGCAGAGCTAGGATCCATATAGCCACTACTGCTAAGAGGGGCTCTAATACCTGCCCTAGGAACTGCCTTAAAGTCCCATGAAGGAAACTAATGGTGCCTAATCACTGTACTCTCCCAAAAATAACACACAAAAATTCAGTAAAATAGAAGCAGAAGCAGAAATCTCTTTTAAAGTCTGGATTATATATGTACTAATGGTGGATGTGTTGATAAGAAGTTCAACCTGGGTGGGGAAAGCAATGGTCCGTGCTCCTCCAGTAGACTGACAAGGTCATATACATATTTTGTCCCACTGGCACATAGTAAAGTGTCTGGCATATTACAGGTGTGTAGTTCATTTTAGATAAATCTACTTGGGTTGTATGCTTTGGCCTGGAAATGTACAAATTATTTGGAGTCCCATTTCAGAGGCAATACCAGTGGCAAATTGTAGATTGCCGCTGCTGCTTTTCACATCATAATTTATTTCTACCTTTAATATCCACTAGGTTCTTTTGTAAACTGAAGGACTATTGAAGCCATAGTGCTTATATAATGTAATTACACATACACACACACACACACAGGGTAATATAATATGTGGTAATACTACACAAATTTTAAATAAACATATGAACAAATAAATGGTACAGGAACAAAATATTACCAGTCAAAAACATGTTTAAACATATAAATATAGCTCATATTGGTTCAGAGTTTGTCTTCTATATCAGTTAACCATCTTTCTTGAATTTAGTAACACTTACTGTGATTTTCTGGAATTTTAACAACTTTCTCTATCTCCTCAAAAATATTATCATCAGTATCTGTCATATCAGAGGCATCAAGTTTGAAAACCTAAAATGTGTAATCAATAATGTTTAAATTTTTATTTAATAACACTTTTCAACCACAATGGATTTATATGTCAATATGCTTTCTTGGGTGACAAAAATATAAAAGGCAGAGAGTTCTGTAACTGTAAAGACCAACATATAACCAGCATAGCCTAATGTAACTGACTTGTGACTATAGCTTATTTATTTTGGAAAACTATTTTACTTTGGTTTCTTTTTTCCCCCTGCAAAGACAGTACATGCTTATTGTAGGATGTCAAATAAAACAGAAAAACACAAAGAAGAAAGCAAAAGTTCTTTGAATTTCCATTACCCACAGACAATCACCATATATATTTTGGTGTATTTTTTTTCTAGACTTTCCGTCATATCAGTTCTCAAGTTTTAGAATACGTAGAATTACCTGCAGTTTGTTAAATTACAGATTGTAACACCTCATCCTTGGAGATTCTAATTGAATAGGTTTGGGATGAAGCCCAGAATTTTTCACTTTTAATGAACATTAAATCATCTCGAGTTATTCTAATACATGTTATTTTTACACCAACCTTTGATACATTCTGATGTATGTATATTAACATATTAACTCCTTTTTATGTTGAGATGGGGAGGTTTAATTATTCATCTCTCTAAAAGAGCTGAGTAATATATCATCAGCTTGTTGGCACTGGTTTCCTTAACCATCAACAGTAGTCGGAGAGAAAACCAAACAATAGAGCTATGCTGGGGGCACAGTGTAGGTTCTAATGAGAGACAAAGGTGCTCGTGTTTCAACCCGGTCCTAGGAATACAGCAAACAGTAATCAGTTCCTACTAATTTCCAGCCTCATCACAAAGTAAGCAAGTCCTAGGCTATTTCCAATTATTATTCCTATTTCAAAAGTAATTATTATGCTTGGATATACATCATTTTGCTCTAGTGCATTTCTTTCTCTAAATAGATTGTTTTGACTTGCAGAGATCATGGCAGATGGAGGCAGGACTAGATTGCAGCTCCTGCTTGGATGGACAAAGAAGTATGTGGAGGCTCACATTATGAACTTTTGCTCCAGAATGACTGCAAGAATAAATCAGGAAAGCCGAGAGAACCCACAGACCCTCAAAAGAAAGTGGATTGCTCCTGCAGGACTGGGGAGACAGCCGAAATACTGAGAGTGCCCAAACTGTGGAAGTGTTGCAAAGGGGGATCGTCTGCCCCCAAACACACACCCTCACTAGGGAACCTGAAG